AGGCACGCGACGCGGCGGCATCTACATGTAGCTATAGCACACCGAACAACCTGTTACATAGTTCTTGGTAAAAAAAATGCATTTTTTTAACACCCCATTTCTTGGTTGATAACTCTTGAAGGTATTGCTGTTTCTTGTTCTTTTCTGGGCTGGTTTCACACACTTAGTACATGTAGCTGTTACGTCCACCAGTTTTTTAGTCATTTTGTACATCATGCATATAGTGTGGACATTTTTGGTCTGACTCTATCTATGCCCAGCCTTGAACCTAAGTACGTTGGAGCTGTTGAGTTTGAACGGCTCTGCGGGGAAATCAACGTGGCCTGGCGACAATGGCGCGGTCACCTTTCCCACGGACCTGAACTGTCGGCCATTGTCAGGTTAGGAGGCTGGCCTAATTAACACTGACCTGGGTATTCAGTCTCTCCCCTCACCCCCACATACAAGTACTGTACCACACGTACAAGTACTACACTCGGCCTTGTTAGTTTGGTAAGCAGGGTCCTCACAGGCCTCAAAATTAACTTTTTTTTTCCTATTGTCCCACCACTGTCCTAATGATACATACTGGTTCACTGGACTTGGATCCGGACTTGCAAGAATGTTTAGGTTCAAGTCCAAAAAAACCTAAAAGTCAAGAACCGAGTCCGGACTTATTACCATAAAAGACCATTTCACATACCCACATTTAGCATTTTGCAGTCGATTTAGAACCTAATTTTTTTTTTGGAAATCAGAAAAAAATTGACAGGGCGGATCCGAGAAGCAACAAATTAAATTGGTGTGGCCTTATCATTTAAAATTACCTGCACCAGACAAATTTTACCTGCATCACTAGGTATAATGTACTGTGTTAACTTCATGGCTCCTATCGTAGCATTTGGGGCTATAATAGGATGCCTAGATCTGTTTTTATTCCGCCCTATCGCTTCATATTGTTTCTTTAATAATCTGAGAACCAACAAATTAAATTTGTGTGGCCTAAAACTGCATTGGATGCCTTTCCTTTAACATCCCCCACTAAACTAGATGGACAGTGTATCCCTGAAGCGTCAAGCCAGCTTACAGGCTAGCCTGCAATGTTGCCCACCACATGTTTCTCCCCCATAACTTGGCTGCCATTCAACCTGTCCCCCCTGGCCCTAATGCCATCTCATGTTCCCAATAACCAAGAGACGGAATATGCGGCTTTATGACAAACTCTGTCTCACCTTTCAAAGGTTTCATTAGCCAGTATTTTGATAAGGGAAGCTGGAGTGACAACAGCTGGAGAATATACAGGTGCAATGTATTACCTCAGGGGGCGGCTGGGCCTTTGTAGTGGGGATATATAGGGGTCCAGGGGACACCAGTAAAGGTCCCTAACCTTTGGGTTTGCCAGTAATAATTCAAGTACAGCTAGAGGTCAGAGGTTGAAGCCTAGAAGAGACTTTGAGGGGCCACCTGGACCAGCCGAAAGAAAACGCAGCTCCGACTTATAGATCGGTTTCTGAAAGGACTTCGGTTATCCTTGGGTTTTAATCCCTGTTTTTATTCACGGATAAGTGACCCCAAACTTTTCTCTTTGATCTGCGAGGTCGGAGTAAGATTTTTGTAAATATACAACGACCACGGGTTGTTTAAGGATTGAAACCTAGCTTTTTTTACTGGGCCAGACTTTTACAGCCGGTACTGTGTACGAGATGTCGGCAGAAATTGAAGAAAGCTGGGAAAGTTGGGCCATATTTACAGCGTACATTTCTTGTAAATATACTGCAGACTGTTTAGTCGAGCTGAAACTTTTCAGCATTTTTACTGCACCAGACTTTTACAGCTGGTACTGTGTACGAAATGTTGGCAGAAACTGAAGAAAGCTGAGAAAGTTGGGCCACATTTACTGCCTAAGTTTCTTGTCAATATAGAACAACTGCAGATTCTTTAGTCAAGCTGAAACTGCTCAGTATTTTTACTGGGCCAGACTTTTACAGCCAGTCAGTTTGAACGAAATATCAGCAGAAACTGAAGAAAGCTGAGAAAGTTAGGCCATATTTACAACGTAAGTTTCTTGTAAATATACAACAACCCCAGATTGTTTAGTCAAGCTGAAACTTTTACAGCCTGTACTAAGTACGAAATATGGGCAGAAACTGAAGAAATCAGAGAAAGTTGGGCCATATTTACTGCCAAAGTTTCTTGTAAATATACAACTGCAGACTATTTAGTTCAGCTGAAACTTCTCAGTCTGGCAAGTTTTTTCTTACCGGGCCAGACTTTTACAGCCGGTGCGAAATATCAGCAGAAATTGAAAGCTGAGAAAGTTAGGCCATATTTACTGTGCTACTTCCTTGTAAATATACAACAAACTTAGATTAAATAAGCAAGCTGGAACTTCTCAACTTTTTTACTGAGCCACACTTTTACAGCCGATATAGTGTACAAAATGTCGACAGAAACTGAAGAAAGCTGAGAAAGTTGGGCCATATTTACAGCCTAAATTTCTTGTAAACATAAGACAACTGCAGACTGTTTAGTTAAGCTGAAACCTCTCAGATTTTTTTTTACTGCACCAGACTTTTACAGCCGGTACTGTGTACAAAATGTCGGCAGAAATTGAAGAAAGCTGAGAAAGTTGGGCCATATTTACTGCCGAAGTTTCTTGTAAATATACAACTACAGACTGTTTATGAGCTGTAACTTCTCAGCTTTTTTACTGAGACAGACTTTTACAGCCGGTTCTGTCTGTGTACGAAATGTCGACAGAAATTGAAGAAAGCTGAGGAAGTTGGGCCATATTTACGGCGCACGTTTCTTGTAAATATACAACAACCTCAGATTGTTTAACAACTGTGTAAAAAAAAAAGATTCTCAGCTTTTATACTGGGCCAGACTTTTACAGCCAGTTCTGTCTATGTACGAAATGTCGACAGAAATTGAAGAAAGCTGGTGGAAGAGTTGGGCCATGTTTACTGCCTAAGTTTCTTGTAAATATATAACAACTGTGGACTGTTTAAAAAAATTCTCAGCTTTTTTACTGGACGAGACTTTAACAGCCGGTTCTGTCTGTGTACGAAATGTCGACAGAAATTGAAGAAAGCTGAGAAAGTTGGACCATATTTACTGTGCTACTTAAACCTCTGACCTACACCCTTTTCCAGTAATGCCTTGGCCAATTTTTTCTTGGCTTCAAGGCAGATTTTTTGGGTCATTGTCCTGAGTTTGTACTACAGAATTCCTAAACAAGAGACTCAAGAGTGGCGCCAAACCGTTTCTACAACTGAGCCAAACCGTTTCTTTCCTGGTGCAACAACTTTGTGATAAACTGACTGTGTTTGGGTGATAGTGGCTGCATAAATTTCCATGATAATTAGATAGATTTGGCATATCAAAGGTTGATAATGAGCTTTTCATTACATTACATTGTAATAACAATTCAAGGTAATAAATGAATGATAGTGTGTTTTTTTCTGTTCATTAATTCTGGTGAGAGCGTAATGTCACCACAGTACTAGCATTTTATGTTCAGAATTACAGGTGTCATCATGGACATTCTGAACTCTAGATCAACCTTCTATGGCAGTTAGGCCACACTTATTTGATTTGTTGGTTCTTGGATTCTTTCAGAAAATATAAAAAGGGACGGGGCGAAAAAAAAATTAAAAAATTAAACAGACCTACGTGTACTAACATAACCCAAAATGCTATGATAGGAGCCATGAAGTCAACATACCAGGCTGGTTTGTAATTCAGACAATGAATTTCAAACTTTTAATCGAACCACTGCATTGATAGATGGAAAACTGCAACAACTCTGAAGAGAAGGGACTTCTTTCAACTGTTGGGGCCAAATTATGAGCATTTTGGAGTTGATTAAATTGGTATGGACTTTTTGTACAGTAAAAATCAAAATGCCCTTTGCAGGTTAAGTTTGTAGACGAAGACTCTGTTCAGTAGAATTGACGATTCTACCACTCTCTATCCTGACAAATATATTAGTTTATCACCCTTTCTGTTTTCACGAGTTCTGTCCTATTTACACAATGATTACGTCCATCTTTCTTGCATTGTTGTGAATGACATCACCCTTAGAAACAAGCTAATTGTTTGAACACGACATTTCTGGATCAAAGAAGGTCTCTAAAGACGCTGCCAAGAATCCCTTGGCCCTGACTTTGGTCTTTCCAAGAACTTTAAGGGATTGACTTAACAAGGATGCGTCTCCCGGCTCCTTGAAGAGGGCACGACACCCAGACACACTGGAGACACACCTAAACCTTTCCCAAGTCTCTTAGATAAAAACCTTGATTTTAACCAGGTTTTTCCGTTAGTGCCAGATAGCTTTTAGTGTTGGGGGTTGTGTGTTGAGTTAAAGACAGATCAGGACCAGATAGAGCATGGCACATTAGGGCCTGGTATTAAAGAGGGATTGCAGGAACTGTGGTGGGATGATGTCAGACCAACTCCTATTGGATGCAACTTTTAAAGCTACAGTCATGTATGTCAGACCAACTCCGATTGGATAAAACTTCAAGCTACAGTCATGTATGTCATACAAACTCCGATTGGCTGAAACTTTTAAAGCTATAGTCGTGTATGTCAGACCAACTCCGATTGGATTGAAATTTTCGATCTACAATCATGTATGTCAGACCAACTCCTATTGGCTGAAACTTCTGAAGCTACGGTCATGTATGTCAGACCAACTCCTATTGGCTGAAACTTTTCAAGCTACAGTCATGTATGTCAGACCAACTCCTATTGGCTGAAACTTTTCAAGCTACAGTAATGTTTGTCAGACCAACTCCTATTGGCTGAAATTTTTGAAGCTACTGTCATATATGTCAGACAAACTCCTATTGGCTGAGAAACTTTTCAAGCTACAGTTATGTATGTCAGACCAACTCTGATTGGATAAAACTTTTCAAACTACATATATGTCAGAAAATCTCCTATTGGATAAAACTTTTAGAGTTGTTGTAGTAAAACTTCATAAAACAAACAAACAAACAAACAAACAAACTCACCCTCTGGCTGGATCCAGCGCTATCGCCCTGGGCTGGTCCAACTCCTCCCAGAATAGAACTTTCCGTGACGTCCCGTCCAGGTTACTCACTTCAATCCTATTGGTCTCCGAGTCTGTCCAGTACAGTTTTCTACCAATCCAATCGCACGCCAGCCCGTCCGGTGATACCAATCCCGTGGAAATCACGTCCGTAACGATCCCGGAACCGTTCGTGTAAATCATTTTAATCATCTCTAAACTGACGTCCGTCCAGTATATGACGTTTTGATCATAGATGAAGTCCAGCGCGGCGGCGTCCTCCAGGTTACTGACCACCACGGTACTGTTATGTCCTCTCCCAGGACCAGCGTCGATAATCCGAACATCTCTTCTGTTCGCAAATAAAAGTCTGGGATTGGGAAGCGCAACTGGAGAGCAGAAGAAAGAAAAAGAAAAAACATTGTTAGGTCCCATATTAGCACAAAACTTCACAAGGCACCCAAATTGGTATGTCCATTAAGCTATGTTGGTTTGATTATATGGAAGACATCCACGCGCGCATAATTTTTTTGGCAGTTTCAAAAAGAAAAGTTTTCAACTATACTGTAAATCGTACAAAACAGTTGCAAAATGAGCAAATATATACCCGGATACTGTAAGTTGCAAAAAAAAATATTTAAAAACGATACACATGTCATAGAATGCCAAAATCAAAGAAAAAAAGATTAAAATGTAAAGAAATGAATTTGAAGAGTAGATTATTCACTAAACCATACTGTCATTTGATCAACTTCAACCTTCATGACCACGTAGATTTCATAATGACAGCAACTTTTTTTTGGCCAAACTTTTTTTTATTCGCACACTTGCATCAGTTTTGGGGTTCCTAGATGATGTCATCCATATAATTAAATCAACATGGCCTAAGTGAGTGGCATGAATGATTGACAGGTGGTGACGTCAGCTGCCCCAGGCCTGTGCAGTGAGTCCTGTCACTAGCAACTTTTTTTTTGCTGCAAAACTTTTTTTATTCGCACGCTTGCATCAGTTTTGGGGTTCCCAGAGGATGTCATCCATATAATTAAATCAACATGGCCTAAGAGAGTGGCATGAATGATTGACAGGTGGTGACGTCAGCTGCCCCAGGCCTGTGCAGGTGAGTCCTGTCACTAGCACCCTGTGTAACCCTACCCTGGCCCTGCTCCCCCAGGTACCACCCTGCCTCCAGCCTACTGTAAACACATCTACTCTGTTATGTCTAAGGGGAAATGTGCCCTTCCTTCTCACCAGTGTGAAGACTCACTCACTCACATGCACTGTAGCAAGCAAGCATTTGGGACGCCGGGCTGGAAATAGCACGTCGGCAGAACGTACTGCACCTGCGCGAAACCCGTAATGTGTTGTACATAACATTTCGGCAGAATGTCTCATATAAGGTTGTATTCACCCATGTAAGGTTAGCATTTCGACAGTAGTTTCCAAATGTTATGTCGGAAAAAATATCCTCTGCAACAGGCAAAATTCTGATGCAACGTTGACCAAAAACCTAACGAAAAACGCTAAAATGCGGGGTTCTGCGCAGGTGCAGTACGTTCTGCCGACGTGCTGCTGGAAATACTGTTCTAGCTAGCCTGATTTTTTTTTTCCCTTTATTATTTTGTTCAACAAATGCTTCTGCTAGGGGGCCCAAACTCATGTCACTTCTTCCCTTGCCCAATTGCTACCTATCATCCAAAATTTGTGACCCTAGCCTGTCCAGATCATGAGATATTAAAACCCGAAGTTCTGCTGCAGGACCATAACAAGCCGCCAGGGGGCTCAAAATCTAATCCTTTTCAGGTCTCATCAAGACCTACCCACCTACCAAATATCAAGACAATGCTTCTCAGCTTTCTCAAGTTATCGTGTGGACAAACACACACACACACACGAACACCAACGAAAACATAACCTTCTTGGCAAAGTAATAATGGCAATCGTTTCTGTTCAGTTTTTAGTCCGTTCCATACCTACATTCTGAGTGGTGCAGGTAAAATTTGTCTGGTGCAGGTAATTCTCAATGATACATGCAACAGTGTAGATCTGCAGAAAAAAAGTATTTCCAGCCCTCTTTGAGGCAGACCTGTGCTGTTACAGTACACAGGCCAGCTACACAAAGAACCAAAGATCTTTACCATTGCTCTTATAACAAACGCACCATTCAGAGAGGAACTTAAAAACAGGCAAGATAAAAGACAATAACAAGACTTAACCTAAGCCATAATACCATCAAGTGAAATACAAACTTGGATACCAAAGTTAACATTTGACTTCGTGACTTTTTAGTCTTTTCGACAGAAAAAAACAAGAACTTTATAACATTGTGTTGCAAGCCAACACAAAAGTTGTGAACTTTCATAACTTTTATTCTAGCAATCTGAAAATTAAGTTTTATATAGGGTGGCTAGAGGAAGTCTCAAACGTAAATTCAAACGTTTATTTCAAGAGTTCTTTTCTTTTCTTTCCACCGTTAGAAACTGGCCCGTTGGCAGAAGCTGTATACAAAATAGCCCCAGCATTGAATTCTCTGTCAACCCAACAGAGGTCTGTGTTTAAAACATGGCATAACAAACAGAGACTGTGGTTTGAGAAGTTTGGGCAGTATGACTCCACTGTAGGCTGGGATGTCTCAACGCCCTGCCCTGTTTCTTGTGCTTTTCCGCCAGTCTTAAATCCACAAACATCTTAGATCCATGCTGCTTGCTAACAAGGAGAGATGGCCTTAAACTTACTACATATCTGTTTCTTCTTATTTCATAGTAAGGAGGAAAGAGTGCAAATTTATCAGAGGTAACACTAAACATTATGCAATATGCATTTGTGTCTATTTCATAGAAGAATTTTATTGACACAACAAAAGTACAGTGACTTTCGTAAGGTCTAAAACTACATGTAGACATACAGACAATACATGGGTTCTTCTTGACTTGGCTTCGTGTCCAAAGATCGTGTCCCAATACATGGGTACAACGAAATTAACCTACATACAAAACAATTATAGATGAGTCAACTTATACTACTTGTTCTAAGGTCTAAACATTCTTTCATATAGATTAGCATATACCTTACATCTATGAAGGCAAGGCATCCAGGTAATGAGATATACACAAGAAAAAAACAGTCACTCAATCAAGCAAGTGGATATGGTAGTAAAATTTGAAACCTGTCAGATGTATCAAGTAGCAGTCACTACTTTTTGTCAGTAATAACTGGTCTCTAGTTACTGAAGAAAAGTAGTGGATGCTACATGAAACACCTGACAATTTTCAAACTCCAGCCAGTTGCTTGAATAACTGTTTTCTTGTGCATATACAGTATTCGAAGTTGAGTTAGAAGAGCACAAGTGGTCATAGAGCAAGAGAAATACATGAGAAATACTAACTGCTGACTATACATAAGTCCTGACAAGACTTTCCATGTGATTTGACTCATGCCCACCCCCACAAAATTACCCTAAATTGTCTCAGACAAAAGGCCACATTGTTAGCAGGTACTGGGCAAAGTGATCCCTCATTTCTGCTGAACTATGGCCGTATGGGGGAGAGATTTTTTGATAAACCCAGGAGCTGGAGTGAGTACTATTGAATCAGGAATTCCTGTACTGCTAGCTCTTGCATGGTCTCTCCTAATGGCCTATTTCCGATTGTTTGCGATGAAGACGTCGGCTGGTTTGGAACAAAGGCGAAATGGCACGACTTTTTCCCAGGGCCAGCGGCGGGACAATGCGCTCCTTTCCCCGCCTGTCAGCCGACATTTGCACAACAAGGGCCTCGTGGACACACGGGGCAGGCAAAAAGGCTGCCGCGCGGAGGGCGAAAGAAAGGGGGGGGGCAATGCTTTCATTCCATCTCATTAGCAATGTGTGACAACCAAATCTTGGTAGCTCAGGTGGCCAGGGTAGCCTGCGGTACACTTCCACAGGGAACAATACCCGTTTGGGGTCTTCATTTTTCACTGTGTCCGCGAGGGGAAAAAAGGGGCCCGCGGGCTTGGCAAATACATTCATATTTACGGCACAAAGGAAAGTAGGTACACTGCTGATAGCAGTTCCCTGTCAGGGAACAAATGAGGGATATAATAGATGTGGGTCGGCCACAAAGGACCTGTCAGGGGTGGAAGACTGATACGGAGTTGTACAAGACTTGCTCGGGGCTAGGGCAGCCTTGGCGCGGCCTGGGTTCCTCAAGGGACATTCCGAGGCCCTTACATCAAGCCTTTAACGACTTGCCGGGGCGTCCAGGTTGGTTGGAAGCGTCCGCAGACAGGAGTAAACAAGAAAAGTGCCTGCAGGTATAAACAAACGAACGTGCAGAACATACATTAATCTGCCTGCCTGACCACTTCCTGACACTGAAACAGTGTTCTGTTTTGCTAGCCAGCCAGAATTTTTTTTCTACCATCTCAATTTTGTTTGCCATAACAATAACATCATGTTTAGAACTAAAGGGGTGGCAACCCTAGGGAAAATTTAGAAATCTTGACCCTCTGAAATGCTATTTCCTGTATTTTGAGGGTCAAATTTTGCTGGTAGACCAAGCTTAGTATAATCTCCTTCTGTATCTTAACAATTAAATGCCAATTTTTTTCTGTCAAAGATGACAGATTGGGCAAAATTTCTGGCCGTCATGAGCAGCAAAATTCCGTCAAATGACGAAAAGATGGACGCTGGCTAGAACACTGCGGATTGGACAAAATTTTTGTCCGTCACAAGCGACAAAATTCCTTCAAATGACGGAAAGGCTGGCTAGAACACCACTCTGAAAACAGACTTTCCGTGTACAAACAACAGCCTGTAACAGATTTCCGTGAGAAAGGTTTGATTTGGAGGTTTATACTCGCAGCATATTTTCCCTTTCGGCAGCTGCACTTCAGATGGGCGAATGTTTTACCAAGGACACACACACGAGTTCCCCTCGCCGACACTAATGGCAATTTGTTGTTCTTTAATGACGCCTAGGCCCGCACTCTAGGGGTCAAAGGGCGGCGGGGGGTCACAGGGGTCGGGCCAAGGATGAAAGGAAAATTTTTCAAGGAGACTAAATATGTTAATGGCTTGGTTGGCGTGAATGGGGCCTTTTGGCATACTGATGTCTTACTCTGCCCATGTTTGAAAATACCAGCCGGTTTTTTTTTTTTGCTCCCATTTTCAGAGCACTCTATGGGGGAGGGGGGCACGTAGGTCACTCACGACAAAATCTATCTTACGTTTTCAACATAATTTTAAAGGTACGGAATACTTACAACTGTGCATCCATATGTGTATATAAAGATCTGTGGCAACTGAAAACAATTTTTTTAGACGAGATAATTACATTTATATCGTCATTACAAATCTAATATGACAAAATCTACCTTACGTTTTCATCACAATTTTAAAGGAACGGTATAC